CCCCCCTTTTTGTCAATACAGTTATCCTGGGCTTCTGGTGGTACCTCAGTCAGTTCAAGACAGCAGTCTGCAGAGAGTTGCTCGCTGTTACCGTCACAATCGCCTACCAGTGGTCTGTTGGAAGAACACTAAAAACAGTACTCTTCTACTCAGATCTGGAGGTTTTCATGGAAAAGGTGTCGTTGGCCTCTTCAAATCCCAAAACACGCATACTACAGGTGAGTTAATGCAGCTAGATTTTCTGTATGAGTCATTTTATGTAGGAATACTTTGTTTTCTGGAGGAAATCAGTGATATGATTGCATCAAAAACCTGAGGATATGAATGTTTATCTGATATCATATTAGTCCCATTTAATTACTGTATGTCAAGAAGCAGACCCTTAATGGTATGAAAGTGGTTCCAAAAATGTCAGTGAATAATTTGAATACTGTAGATTGTCTACATACCAAACATCTTTGGTAAAAGCTGGTCTCTGCCAAATGCAATGCAAACGTCCCCTGTTTCCCTGAACTTTTTTACTTTGCACTGGTTTATGTAATGAGGGTATGTTGTCCTTTTTAATAGAGGATTGTATAAAATATTAGAGACGCCGTTATCCTCTGGATTTTCTCAAGTTTTTCGTTGTAATAACTAGTTTAACTTCGATCTTTCAGGCATATGCTTTATGAAACAAAGATTCTAGTTGGGGTCTTTGCATTAAGTAAATCTCTTCGATTGTGTGATCAAGATTGAACAAGCATAAGATTTATCAAAATAGTTACTTTTTCAGAAAAATATAACATTAGAGCAACGTTAATTGTGGAAAGGACATTAGTTGGCATTCATCACTGACAGGCAGTGTTGAGGATACTTACTGTGACTGCCTGGATTTCCATCTCTTATGCTGATGGTTTGTTCAGAGTTAACTCCATGCCGAGAATGAATTTGGCATGTTGCTGAAGAAAAGGTCAGTATTCTCTTTAATCAAACAGATAGTTGTTGCTATTTTTCCCCCCTCGCCTTCTGTTTTTAAACTGTGTTTCCTCTCTAGCTGTGCTTTCATCCAGTCTTTGGCAGCCATTTCTCTGTCTGAAATGGTCCTTTTCCATGTCTCCCACAACTTAAGCAACATCAGGAACAGTTCGAAAATTACTCCGTTTAGGATCTGTAGAGTGGTGATCTGAAACTATATCCATGTAAAGGATTATTCAGAGGTTTTCAGAGGAGGAATTGTGGTTCTCCTAACAGTCTTCCCTCCCCTTCTACAAGTTACCTAAGTATATGGAAAGACACTTCCTGGAGTTACCTTCAGGTGAAGGAGCAGGTGGACTGTCACTAGGGAACAGGAACATTACATTTCATAATTGGAGATCCTTTACCATGTGTTATCCAGGTGTACATGTGCTGCCCATCTTCTTCCTTCTCTTCTTTATTCCATTAAATAAGATATAGGGAAGGAACTCTTCACAGAGAGTGTGGTGAAGCAGGGGAAATAGGTTGCCCAGAGAAGCTGTGAATGCCCCATCCCTTGAAGTGTTCAAGGCCAGGTTGGAGTGGAAGGTGTCCCTGCCCATGGCACGGGATTTGGAACTGGATGGTATTTAAGATGCCTTCCAACCCAAACCATTCTGTGATTCCATGAACAGTAGTGTCTTTTGAGATATATTTATACTTTCAGTGAAAGGGCAGTACATCTCCAGGAACCACCAGTTACAGGTAAGTAACCTTCCTTCATTGGAATGGGGAAGACCTGGTTGAGTATGGTTTTAAGTTATTTTTGTTAAAGAAATGGTTCTATCTGTTTTCCACACGTTTTTTTTTTAAAGGCTGAAATTTGCTGGCAAGTAGCACAAACTTAGAAATGTTGCTTTTCATTACGAGAGTGAAGGGAAAACTACATCATCTCCATTCTGTTTCTGATGAATGTTTTTAGTAGTGACCATGAGGTAACAGGCTCCTTCAGAAGTTTAGCTTTGTGGTACTGGAATGGAAGAGAACATTGCTGGGTGCTGCTTTGCAACCAGGTGGTGAACATGTGAGCATTCTTTGTCATCCAAAGAATGGCTTTTTGAACCTTCGATAGATGAACCGTGACATTTTCAGTGCTCTGCTTTACATAATAAGCTGGGGGAGTTGCTCTTCTTTTTATTTATAAATATACTTTTATTCTAATGTATACAATTCTTCTTGTGACTCTAGCTCCTGCTTCTTTAGAATCTTCGAGCAGTATAGAACAGGAAAAATACCTACAAGCCTTACTGAATGTGATATCCGTCCACTGCAAAATGAATGGCAGTAATACTCTCACTGTTAGACCAACGATTGCTCTTTCTCCAGGTAAAATTGGTTTGTATGGTGCTTTTCTATGCCTAAGCTGAAAAGTGAGTTTTCTCTGATTTGGTGTTCGTTCAGCATCCCATATGAATTCTGTTGTTTCTTTATCATTACATTTTCGAGATAGATTATTCACTCTTAGTTTCAGTGAATGTGTTTTCCGTATGTAAAGGATGTTTGTACTTTGCCAAAATATTTTCAGTATACTTAATCTGACAATAAATTATTATCCACCTGTAGGTCATAGATTTTGATGAAATTCACTTGAGTATGATGGACAATCTTGAGGATTTAGTAATTTATTACAATTCTGGAACAAATAAAATAAAGTTCTCCAGAATATCAAGATGCCAAAACTTCCCCTTTTTATTTTTTATATCCAATGCAGTGATTACATTATATAATAGAATCAAAAGTAAAGATTCATTTTGAAGTCTTTTATAACAAATCAGAAGTATTGAAAACCGAATATTGAATAAGACACTTCCAAATTGAAGTGAGTGCAATACTACTCTGTTTCATATAATGAGACAATATGAGACTGCAGGCTCCGAGTCCACATGAACAGATACACTATTTAGTTGCAGCAGCAATGGAAGGTGTGTAGGCATTTTCATGTGCATACATACTCATAATGGGCTTTTAATGTTATTTCCAAGTAGAGCTTCACATGTAGTGAAAACCCTTTCACAACACACAACTACTCATATGCTGAACAATGAAGAAACAAATCCCTGTTTTATTTCAGTTATTACGTGATGAAACCCGCTAAGGTTTATCTGAATGTAACCCCAGTGTCTTAGAAAGAGGAGTATGTGACTTGAATTTGTGTCTGTCTTGTCTTATTGAATTGGTGGTAATTGGCCTAATATAGCCAAACAGTGGCTTTTCTTGTAAAATAACACCATTCCCAGAGTGTGCATGCTTTGCTTCATTTATTATAAAGTATGTTGATTGCTTAGCTGTATCTAACATCTCCCTACTGTTGCCAATGTATGCATCTGTCTTCAGATTTATTTTTTAAAGTACGGAATTGGCAAGAATTAGCTGTATTGTGTGAAAAAGGGCATTTTATCAGTTATGTTAAGTGTTAGTCTGAGTAACACTGTAGTTTTTTAATCTTCTATTCTTTTTTTGACTGACTTTAGGCACTGAAAGGAGGGCTTCAAGAATGTCTACTGTGTTTAAGCAGGTAGTGCCAGGACATTTGGATGTAAATCTGTCCAATAGCTTTGCTCGAGGAGGTTAGTAAGACTAGCTCAAAGTCTATTATTGAAGTCATAAATTATAAAAATAATTACATTGCTTACCAACTCATTCCTCTCGGAAACAACAAAGCAGAAATTGCAGATTAGCCTCAGCCCATAACATTATTTAACTATCTAATTTCTGTTTAAGTCTGTTACTTACTATTGAAACAAAACGCTGACAGCAGACGTTTGGTTGTATTCTATCCCCTTTTGTTGGGGCAAAAGTGCCAACAGCGAAGTGGTGCTGAGGGGCAGTGAAGGCGCTCCAGATAAGTAAGGGAAAGCTTGCTCGTTGGCCGTATGGAAGTTGTCTTTTGAAGATAAAAGGATTACTGAAATAACTGTTGCCGGTTTCTGGGATTAGAGTTTGTGGTAAGTGTGATAGGACAAGATTGTTGCTACTCAGCGAAGAAAAAAGGAGTCTCAAGGCAGTATTCGGTCACAGACGTGTTGTTTTGTTGGACATCGAAGTCTCTTGGCTGAATTTCAGCAGTAATCAGAAAGAGGGCAGAGAAGTTATCTTGTGTCTTGCTGGACTGATGCCACACCTGCTCTATATATCTGAAAGGTGTAATTACAGCCCAGTATCTGTAGTCTATTCACAGCTCAGCAGGGTACATGAGGACTTTGCTGAAACATAAGAATGTTTGACAAGTATAGTGGGAGCCCTAGTGAAGGTGAGAAGTTGACAGGGTAAGAGAGAACAGGGCAAGGGAATATCTCCTTGTAGAGAATTAAACACTAGGTTTTTTAGATTAGCTAACACAATTCTTTTAGAAGAAACTCTATAATACACAGACTATATAGAATCTCTAAAATTGATGTTCTCAAACTTATTCACAAGATTTATTATTGCAGAATTTCTTACTACTTTTTTCACAGCTAGTTATATTTCACACTTCAGGTAGTGTCAAAAGGCTATGTAGAACTAAAAATACAGGGGTTTAGTCAGCTGTGAAAACAGCCTTTTGCAGGCAGCCTGAAAATGGTGATTTTTGTCTTTCCTTCGTATTCCTAAGAATAACTCAAAAAGAAAAAAAAATTAAATTTAAAAAAAATACAGTGGGGTTAGCTGGTTTCTTCATCACAGCAAACAGCTATGGATTATGCACTACGCTGCACAAAAGATAATAGCGGTATTTTTGTGGGTTTTAGTCTGGATGCCTCTTTCTTTCCTTGTTTTTATTCTCACACATACCAGGGCTCAAAAGCCAGGTTCAGCTATGATACACCAATTGGACATGACATTTTCTATTTTTTGTGCCAGACAATGTATATTTAATACACATCCTTTTAAAAATTCAGTTAAAAGAGATGTGCCAGTGCTTGAATAGTATTTCTCCTTTTCAAAAAGCATCATTGTTCTGAATACTCATCAATTGTCCTGAATATTTGTGGTTTTTACTTTATCTGGAACATTGTAACAAAGTATTTGCCTAAAGCTCAGTTAAGTTGTTTCTGATCTGAAGTATTTGGTTAAATACTTCTATTTCATAATATATTTTCATTCTTGGACCTTCTTTTTGGCAATACCTTGGTTGAAATCTTTCATAAGAATTGTAAGTTCACTCAAAATACATACCTTTTCTTCTTATATTACTTTATAAGTATAGTGTGGTTCTACAGAACAGCACTTCTTCCCTGGCATTATCGTGTAATTTAGTAAAATAAAATGTTATCTCAATATGGTTTGCTGCTGTTGGAAAAATACTTGGATATTTATAATTAATAAATACAGACTGAGCTCAGACATTGATTTTAAAAGCAGGAGACGTCAAAACTTTGAGTATGTTTTAATAGATGATTTTAATTAGAAAAAGTTGCTTGTGTTGATACAGCTTTTGAGCCAAAAATATGCCTTCTGAGAGGCATATAAGGCTCCCACTGAAAATGAGACATTTTGCAAGGGGGGAGGAAATCTCTTTGTGTGATGGGTAGTGCATGTTTTCTAAATTACGTACTTTTACACAGTCCTTTAAAAATGTTTGTAGGTGTACAGAACTAACATCTTGTGCTCTGATTTTATTATTAGGTCCCTCAAATTATGTACTTAAAATAGACTGAAACAGTTCTTAAAAGAAGCACTAAGGTTGGGATTTTTAGTTAAGCTAACTTTAAGCTGGATAGAAGCTTTCAATAAGATATTCAGCAGAATGATTTAATCGTTACATTTCCTTTGGTATTACAATTATTGAAAAACACATGATGGCTGTGCTACGCGTTTGAAACTATTGCAATGACAACGAAAATTACTCCTTTTTGATAAATGTGTATTTCCTTCCCATTTTATATTGGTTTTCTGGCTTGATTGATGTTTTGTCTTGTGATGACTAAGATTTGTGCTGTCTGATAAATCATGTACTATATAAAGAAATTCAATATATGCTAGATCTCTGGAAATTAATAAGTAACCCTTTTCTTTTCTCCTGCAATGTGTCTCGCTGCAATGTGCATTCCATTCCTCCTCCTTCTGTCTTAACTGTTATCTACCAGTGCTTGGGTACAGAGATAAATGTTTCACTCATTCAAATTCCAAACCAGCAACTAAGGGAAGAGTCCATCAAGGTACTGTATCCTGTGTCCTGAAAGCACATTCTTTTCTTCCATCTCCATAACTGCTACAATATCTTAATACATGCTAAAGTGATACTGACAGAAAGCCTTGATTCTGCATTAATAAAATTTGAAGTTTTGGTTCAGTGATTTGGTTTTGGTTTGGGGTTTTTTGGCTGTCGAATGCATGATGCAGTGACAGTGATTAGTCACACACTTCACCATGTTATTCATTAACAATGTTATGATCTAATGCGGAGTGATATGTAGAAAACCTTATGCGTGAAAATTTTAAAAAGCAAAAAAATCAGTTCTGCAAAAGCACATTTAGTACTCCTACTGCTTTAGTAAAATAGCCAAGACATACTGTTACCTAGTTAATGAATTTTCTTTCCAAAATTAATGTTAGTGAACAGGGACAAATCAATTTCTGCCAAATTAAAAGTTGTAACAATACAGTATATGTCAAATACTGAAAGCTAGATACTGCTAACAAAAAATTAGATACTAGACAAAATTAGAATAGAAACATAATAGTGTCTTTTAATCACTGTTATCCATCACTGGTAAACATGTTCATCTGCATGTATTTGTAACCAGTTTTGTCGCTTTTGATGTGCTGCAGGCACTAATGATGGCTTGCATTTGTAGTGTTAGAAAGTGACACTGTATTTTTGTGTATGTAATCTTTGGGGACAGCTGTCTGTTGGAGCTCACGTTTTTTCCTACACATGAACAAGAAATTATTTCTCTTCTTAAATGCTTGCTGTGATTTCTGCTGCTGAAGTCTGTATTGTTTCATCTGCAGTGGTTGGGATGTGAAACAAAAGTTTATATTAAACACACTATGTGAGGTATTTTATAAAACTGGCTGTCTCTGAAGTGGAAACTCTTTAGAACTGTTACCAGTTCGTAAGTCCCCAGCCAACCATTCTCAGTTCCTCCTGTTTGTTTGCTCACATCTAGGACTAGCAGCCAGACAGGCAGACAAGCTAAACTGGGCAGACAAGTCCCAGTTGAGGATTACTGTACAGAATTATTCTTTAATAGAAATATAATCCTGCTTCTAAAAAATAGAATAAAGTTATTCTGCTGGTTGAGCTTCTCGGTGGAATTTTACTGTTATCTGCAGCTTTTTTTTTTCTATGCAAGAAATGTTAACTGTGCATATTGTTGGATTTTCCTGAAGGTGTTGGAGGGTTTTTTTGATGTACTGTAGTATCTAAGTCTCTACTACTACAGGGTATTTCTGGTGCCTCTTTTGGATATCTTGCTTCACAGATTTATGGACAAGAGTCTCTTCTGATAATCTGATTTACTGCGTATTGGGTTAAAGAATTTCACACTGCCATTTGTATGCCAAATTTAGTATACTTTAAGGGATTTGATTTTCAAGTAGTGCTATTTATATTCTGAGAATCAAGTACCTTGCACATACCTCACATTGGACACACGAAAACAGTCTCACAAAAATCATTGTTATTAACTAAGGCACAAGAAACAGAAGAATATTTCCTACTTATCTTTTCTTCTGCTAGTGCTGAATAGGCCTTGGCAATCTGGTTTATCAGTATTTTATCTTATGTTGCAATCACAAAACTTACTTAAGCATGTCTGTGTGCTGTAGGAATTCCCTCCTCTAGAAATGGCAGTATCGCTGCATCAGCAAGGCACGATACGCAAACTAAAAATGCTGGGGAGAGGCAGAGGTTACTGGGTCGGTACGACGCCATTCAGTGTGGCGGTGCTGTGTCCAGGTGCAAATCTGTGCTTCCACATCACACGGCACTGCTTCACGCTCACGTTGCTGCTAGCTTTGGGATTTCGGTACCAACCCAGCTGCCAGAGTAATGGTCACCTTACGCCGGCTTGACTGTCAGGCTGTGGTCATACACTCGTCCTTCTCGCTTCGCACACGACTGTACCGTAGTCACCTCTGCTAGAATACAGTCGTGCAACACATGATTAAACAAACTTCTTTAAATTAATTTTCATTTCTAATTGTTCATTAGACATGGACAATTACAAACTAAAGTGATTGGCATTCTGCATTTTAATCATGGCATTTCAAGAGTAAATATGGAATGCTTTATCCTGAAATGTAATATTTGAATTGAGCATCCTTATATACGTTTTCACTATAATATGATACGCTTGATCCTATTACATTGTGTAAGGCAGAAGGAACACAAGAATTCTAGGTAACAGAAAATTTTAAGTGATACTATTTTCTTTTCTGAAGTTGGTAATTATACAATACTCTTACTAGTTAGACTTCCAAAATAACAGGACTTTGACAAGGAAATACGTCAAATTCTTGTCCCTTCTTCTGTGAAGAACAATACTAACAATTTTGTTTCCATATACTTAAATTGGCATTAATTACTTGCAGGTTGCAATTCATTATGTCACTATATTACTGACGGTTTGATTAGTATCTTAGGATAAATGACAGTGCGGCAGGATGCTTTTGACAATTTTAGTTATGAAAAAACATCTTTCCATTATGTGCTGTTAATTATGTCCTGTGAGGGATGCAAAATTACATGTTTAAATACTCTACTTTCCAAATTATGTTTTAGCATATGTCTTAATAGGTATGATTTCCAGTGCCTGACACAAAGAGGTTTTAAAATATTTTTCATTTTTATGAAGGTGTATGGGCGAGTCTTCGTTCAAGCAACCGACTTATCAACGCGCAGACTCCATTCATTGATGTTGGTGCAAGACTAGCAGGGAAAGATAACACCACTTCCTACAGTAGCAGCACTTTTCTGCAAAGTCAGCTTTTGAGACGGCAAGCTGCCCTCTATATATTTGGAGAAAAATCTCAGTTACGGGTAGGTAATGGCTTTGTTGTTGGAATTTTTTTTAACATTATCATTGTTTTTATTTTCTTGAGTTTAATAACCCTGATGTTTTTACAAAATCAGCAGTAATATTCTAGGTAAGGTGGTTGGGTTACTCTCCTAAAGGTGTAAACTCTTACGAAGATTATTCCTATATGCAGAATAACGGTTAATGCAGTATAACTCAGTGTGGGGTGATGGGGTGAAAAATCAAGCTCTGTGGTTATATAATACAACAAAATTAACATAAATTAAAACAGACTAAGTTATCTTAAAGAAAGTTTAAGATCAAGCTCTGGCTCACAGAAGTTGTGAGTAGAGCCCTATTTGTCACTTTTGGTCGGATGTGTAGTAAGGCTAAGACACAAAAAGAATAGGTGACAGGTGCCTGTAGGGATGGAATAGCTTTTGTGCAAGGTAAGAGTCTTCCAGATGGGAAAGACATGGTTAGGAAGGAAGTACATTGCTGGGCAACAGAGCATCCAGCAGCACCTTCATATTTGGCAGTAACCATGTCTTTGCCTGTCTCCCTGCATTGGCTCTGCAGGGAGCAAGGGCAGCAGAGTCTGTCTCTGCTCAGGGGAGCTGCGGGGGTAAAGGTGAATGATGGGAATGCAGGCCAATGGAGTGGGGCTGGTGTAGTGGCTGTGGAGCTTACTGCCCCTGTTAGAGCCTGTTCAGAGCTGTTCCAAGGGTAGTGCAGGACTTCTGCATCTGTAAGTTTATGCTTTTAGAGCCACACTTAATCGCACCTAAATATGTAGTGCTGTACTCTGATTCTGCTGACTACTCATCTGATGTTCAGCTGAGTCGTCGTCTCGGTGATTTCTAGTTTGGGAAACATGAAGCAGACTTATTTGGTCATTTAAAGTGCAATTTTATTTTTCCTGATGTGTTGAAATATGTTATGAAGCAAACGGAATGTTGTTAGTCAGGAAAGTGATTACCAGAGAAGAAAACCTTATTACTGTGGGCAGTGCTTAAACTCACATGAAGCCAAATCGACATGAATAAGGCTAACCCAAAAGTCTGTCCATCCTGATTTGATTACATGAAGACCACCATGATTTCTACAGTTTCATACACCTTTTTGGATAAATTTTAGTACTTTAGATGTAGTGGTTTAAGGAACAGGTAGCCTCTACATTAATTCTTGGTAGTTTTACTTTTTTTTTCCCCCCAGAAAATGTTTGCAGATTATTTTTTTTAAATCTCTGCATTCAAATTTTGAAAAAATCGATTGTTTTCTGCTTGCTTATTTCAAATGTGAGCATGCATAAAATCTGTTAATATGTAACTGCCAAACGCAGTTATTGGTAGTAGGAAAATACATCAGTATTCAATTCTTTCTGAAATTATGTTATTTTGGGAGATGAAAGAATCATGCTGTATCAGAATGATAAATCAAAATTCTTTGCAAATTTTGTTTCTGTTTTGACTTTTCTTTGTAACCTCAAAACTTTTCAGTTGTATTTTTAAATGGTGGCTATAAAACAAGTATTAGTTTTTATTCAAATTTTACTTTGTTTTTATAATTAGTTTACAAATTAATTTTCCTTTTAGTTTCTTCATTACACATTGTTACACAGAGTAGTCATTTTTAATTAGTTAGATTTCATTTGGCATTCTTTCACTTTCTAATATAATTAGCGTAACAGTAATTTACAGAAATATCCTGTTAAGCCTATAAGCAAAGTGTTCTGATTTAATGTAATAAAGGATAATAATATAATATTGGAAAATAAAAGGAAATTTCAAAAGTAAACATAATTTATCATGATTAGAACAAAATGTTTCTTTAAACAGTAAGTAAAATTTGTTTTCCTTCAAACTTTTTCAGTTTTATTGAGTTGGCATTTTCATTTGCTTTTCTAGCGAACGTTCTTCCCTAAGTTTTGAAGCAGGTCTATTCATATCAATTTTTCATCTTGTTAAGTTTCCTTATATAACTGTAAGCCCCAGAAGGCTCTGGCAAAGGAGACGCTTCAGTGAAAAGGAAGATAGAGTAATGTAAGAGAAACAATTACATAGAATTAAATTGCCATGTTCCAATAGTAACAATTATTCATGTTTCTATTTGTTTGATTTCTTACGAATGCTAAGTGAAGAGTTCAGTCACACATCTAAAGATGCCTCGCAGAAACATCTTCAGTCTGCTGCTTTGAAATGACCCTTTAGACCAAAGCACTTAGATTAAAGCATTTTTAATATATTACCATAAAGGTGTGCATTATTATGCAGACTATGAATATTGCTGAGTATGAAGTAGTCTGAAGTCCAGTAGGATGTGTATAGTTGGAAATTCCTAAAAATCAATGCTTCTATGATCCTTACATTACATTCCTTGCTGGTATAGAGCTTTGGGTTTTTTCACTCTTTTTTGGTCTTGTTTAATAATACAATTTTGAAGAAGATGAGTCATCCATGGACATTTCTAAGGAAAAGGGTATTGTGTTAACAAACATAAGGATAACCTTACATAGTGATTGTTTCGAGCCTGCTGTCATTTATTGGTATCTACTCTGTAAGATCAATTCCACTTTCATTTTTGTGTAAAGGCATCTTGCTGGGTTTTGATTGTGAAGTACTTCCCTAGCTTTTGCTGGTTTGCAAAGGGCTTGGCAGAGCATGCATTTCTGATGTTGATTCCTATAAGGACCTGTTTTATTCTAAATGGGTGATCCAAACAAATATTTAACATATTAAGGAAATTGTCATACATTTCTCAATGGCTCTTATCATACATTATTATAACTTAGCATTCTAAAACCAAGTTTGGTAGTTGAGCTATTGAATTTATTTTTGAACCTTGCAAAATAAAACTGAATCTGGGCTTTCACTTTCCTACATTTTCTCTTGGCATCCTACAAAGCAGCTTAATGAAGATCATTTACAGTCCAAATTTAATTCTATTAAAGATGAATTTCTGAAGAAAACTGAAAAACTTTGCTGTGAAGATCTTCAGTTGGTGCTTCACTCATGAGAATTGTTTTTCCTAATAATGTTCTTCGTATGAGCCTTTTCATCATAGTTCTTTTCTTTCAGTTAGCTAACTTGATCCCTTAATTCAGTCCTCTTATTGCTCATTTTCTAAATGCAGTAAATAAAAAATGTTTTAGATTCTGCTAGTAAAACCTCCTAGAAATTATATCAGGTATTCCCTGACTGCTCTTCTGTGTTGAACTAGGTACTTTAGGCAAAGAACTGTCCCAGTGTGCAGTGACTGCTTAGCTGAGTCAGCTAGTTTGCAGCTTTGGGGGTTCTTTTTGGATTTGGGCGTTCTTTTTTCTGGTTTATTGAACTACTGGAATCTGTCCTGTATTGTTGGTATGTCATCTGTACAGTTATTTTAACTTGTATTTATTTGTTGTTCGTTGGCTCTAAAAATCCTAAAGGGATCTCATTTTGTTGTGTATAAAATCTCAAAGGATTTATCTCTCAGGTTTGGTTTTTCACTAGTATTATTATTGAAAATGTGACTGGTGTGCAGTAGATAGTGATGTTACGAGTAGTAGGTGGGTACTTTATTATGGTACATAAGTGTTGTAAGGTTTTTTGTTATCCTGAGCAGTTGTTTAACTAAATAGATTTTTGATTAGGAATTTAAATATTTAGCAATACAACGCACAAGACTTTGAGATTTGATGAGTCTGTCAGTGGAAAAAAATCCCTTTTAAATTATATCTGCTGTTGTCCTTTTCACACAGGGATTCAAACTTGATTTTGCCTTGAACTGTGAATTTGTTCCTGTTGAATTCAGTGACATCCGACAGACAAAGGCAAGCTTTAAAAAGCTGATGCGAGCTTGTGTTCCCAGCACCATTCCTACAGATTCTGAGGCAACATTCCTTAAAGCACTTGGGGAGTCAGAGTGGTTCCCACAGGTAATTAATATGACAGGTACTTCTACTAATCTACGTGCACTACTGCTTAGACAAAATAAATTTTAGGCTCTTCTGACAGGGAACTATTGTGTTCTAACCAGCTGTTCTTCTTGGTTCATTATAATTAATTTGCATACTGTCAATTCTGTCATTACATAAGCATTATTATTTTAATACATTCATAACATTTGCAAATGTGTGAGACGACTTTATAACATAATTTATGGTTTATAACATGGAACATGTACACAGGGAGCTTTTTCTGCCTGTATAAATTTATTATCTTGGTTTTAACTGCTTTTTTCTTTACATATTTTAAAAATTAGAAAAAGTATAGAAAAATAAATGAGCCTTCTGATTTTAAAACCGAAATTCTACTGTTCATATGTGTTCCCACCCTGAATTTCCACGTGCACAAGTATTTACCAAATAAGTTAGGATCTGTTTTCTGTTGTGGGTTATGGAGAACTGTTTGCGAGGGAGTGGGGATTGTGTGTGTGTTCATCTGTTCTCTTTGATTCTGTTCCTTTACTTCCCTGTCCCATACTGCCTTACATAAAGATTAACCAAAGGAAGCCGAGACTGGAAGTAACTTTGCAACATTCAAATTAAGATGGACGTGGGAAAGTCAGTTCTTTGTAAATCTAAAAGCATTTTAATTATAGTGAATATTTTTAACAGTTGTATGTTGTGTTTGGAATCCTCCACTCAAAAAATTCTTCTGAAATCCAGTAAATCCATAGTAAACAGAACAGACTCTTAGGCTGATTTCTTACGGAGGAAATACATGTGAGTACCACAGTCACTTCAGTAGTTACGCATCAGAAAGCGTACTCCTGGTTGAAATGTGCTACAGTGCAAGGAGTGGCTTAACTGCTTCCCGTGAGGTGTGATCACACCTTAGAGAGCGTAGTACCTGGTCAGTGCAATGTCTGGCCACCACGTTGACTGGGAAGGGGAGAAGTGGGAAGAGCATGAAGCATTGGCTCCCTCCTCATGTGAAAATTTTCCATCACAGACTAGTTGCACGAGTTGATAAGTGTAGAGAAATGAGCTGAATGTCACTTTGACAGAATACACCTGTCCCTGTAGCAGCACAGAGAATCAAGGGGAGATGGTAACATTCGAGTTACTCTCTTTTGGCATATTTGAGAGGAAAAGCAATAGTGTATTGCTCTTTGCGTAGGACTAAATCATAATGTCACACACTAGCTGTGTGACATTTAAACCATGTTGCTGTGATTTAAATCATGTCGTCTGTGACTTACATGGTAAAGTTAATTTATGACTGATTTGACACATTTTCTGCTGTTCCTGTGAAAGGACATAGATCTGTCATCTTGGAAGTGTGTTTTTATTGTAGTAAGCTTTCCTCGCATGGGTAATAGAAGTTACACACTATTAACACTGTATAGGCTAAATGTTTCTTTATAATGATGTGAATACATTGCCCTATCTTCTGAATACAAATTATAAAAATATATATTGCCTTTTTTATACTGAATCTGTGTAACCAGATTACGTATCAGTTTATTCATTAAGAATGGCAAAACATGGCCTTTCTTCTGTTCTGCTGCCTAATGAAGCATAACACAATAAACAAACTGCTTGGTTTTAGAACTGGTGCTCTTTTCCATCTTTTCCTATTAAAAATTACAGGAAAATCCATTTCTTTTGTTTTCTAAGTAATGACTATATAAATGTCTAGAGGAGTTAAGTGTTTTCCATCACAATTTCTATGGTAGTATTTATGGGACTGGGTGTTTTGGTTTTTTTTTTTAAGAGGATAAAATCAGGCTGCTCTAAACAAGGATGAATGTTTAGCTGTTTGGTTGATCTTTTTTCCTCTTACTTTCTCCAGTATAAGTTTGACTGAGTCACTTTTCCTGTGCCTTCTCTACTTTCTGAACTTACCTTTTTCCTTGCATACATGATCTTAGATGTCTCTTGCCATATTTTGTTTTCCTCCATTCTACTGTAAAAAACTGAATTGCTTACATATTGTCTATTACATTGTTTACCAATAATGCTGTCATAGAATCACAAAAATATTGGAAACATCATACAGATTTTCCTTTTATAATAACAATGTGAAGTGTCATATTAAGGTAAAATTGCTCAAATTCACCTAAATTTTTTTAACCTGCATATATCTGTCATGTTTGAATCAATCTCATTCAAATCAATAACCCTTCCCAGAGAATTAACTAACCTGCCTGCTCAGGGAATTTTAGTATCACTGCATAATTAATAGTAGAATGCAGATAATTAATGCTCATTATATATGTTTTAGCCAGGCTGCCCAAAAGCATATTATAAGAAACACTGCTTAATCTATCTAAACTATTTCCAGATTATAGAAATAGGATTTCTCTGTGTTTGTTTTTAGGTTTGAGATTTGGTTATTATTTTTATTGTTACTGTTGTTAATTAATTATCAACTTCCATGAGATTGAGCACTAGAAATATTATCTTGTATCTTACATGGGTTCTCCCATTAAAGTATTTAGTGACTTTAAGGAACCTTAACATTTCACAGGAAGTGATTTTAGTGTTAAGCCGAGGATGGAATTTCTCTACAATAAATCTGCCAACTGTGTTGTTCCCATTCTGCTTTTTATGACAGCTATTTTATTACAGTACTCATCGGATTTAATAGTTTAAGTTCCTATCTTCAAATCTTTGCTTAGTTTTATTGTAGTTCAGAGGAAAGTCCTGAGACTGTTACATTTTATAGCTTTCTAATCTGTTGCATCAATGCATTTCTCTGTGCTATATGTAGATTTCAGAATATGTATTTTAATATTACTTATTAAAAGACTCTGTACTGATAATATCTAGAAATGTATCTTATACTTGAGTATATTATTTATTTGTAATACTTTTGTAGCTTCACAGGATAATGCAATTGGGTGTGATCATCTCTGAGCTCCTGGAAAACGGTTCTTCTGTTATGGTTTGTTTGGAAGATGGCTGGGATATTACTGCACAAGTAAGCTGCTATTAAAACCTTGAAATAGCTAAATATTAAGAAAAACACCAGGCAACACTTTTTTGCAAAAGTGACTGACAGTTTGGTATAACATTAATAATTTGTCTTGTGGCAGCAGAGAAGACACTAGAATGCGTGAATCCTTGCATTCATTTGCAATTTACACCATGAAAGAGCTCCTTAAAATGAATTTGTTCCAAAGGTCCTGATGGGCTTACAGTTCTAAGGCTTAGTTTTTTCACCTGACCATATGTAAGTGCGACAGCTGAAAGTTGCCACAACAGATCGTTTATCTTTGTAAACATAGTGCAGTTAAAACACAGGAGGGAAGGAGAAGAATTCTTTTGCTTGCCATTCATTCACTTCCCAAAAATGAAGTTAGGAGACCACACACAGTGAGAGAACTAATTTTGTGCCAAAATGACTGTAACACCTGCTGCAAGAACAGATCACCAGAACATGTAATTCTGTGGCACAACTGATAAATTAGGTGAACGAAGACCTGTTGCCTCATTTAGTGGATGCATTGGGTCCTTGTAGTTGTTTCATAATTCAGAAGATAAACACAGATCCCAGTAATTCTAGTAAATAAATCTTCACATGCAGCCAGCATCCCGGTACCAGGTAAACAAACCCACAAAATGATGAATAGAGAAGGGGCCATACAGAGCTGCAAGTGAAAGAAGTCTCTGCTGCATTTTAAAGTCTCCTGAGATGCTGTCTATAAAAACAGACCACCACAGCATGGGAACACTGCAGAAACTCCAAAGTCATCCTCAGGACCAATTCTTTAACACTTTATTTGCTGAGGTAGCTGATACTATTTGATAAATGTTTATTATCGTATTTATTAAGGAAAGTGGTCTTATTTCAGATATAATTTAAATGTGGTATGCCTTACAATGACTTCCAAAGTCTATAGTTGCTCAGGTTTGACTCTCACAGATACTGTAAAGTCTCAATTTAATTCAAGCTTTTTTCATTTGGTTTGTTTTATAAAAATACTTATGTGGTAAAATACTTGTAATTGAGTTTGTATGAAGGCTTTTGCTTCCTTGAACCATAAACAGATCATGGAATATTTATATTCAATGACTAAAGTGTTCTCCTAACTTCTGTTGCTCTTAACACAATATATCCTGTCTTGTGATCTAGGTAGTATCTCTGGTGCAGTTACTCAGTGATCCCTTCTATAGGACACTCGAAGGCTTCCGGATGCTGGTGGAAAAAGAGTGGCTCTCTTTTGGTCATAAATTCAGTCAGCGTAGTAATCTGACTCTCAACTGTCAGGGTAGTGGATTTGCTCCTGTTTTCTTACAGTTTTTAGACTGTGTGCATCAGGTAAGTCAATCTCTATCTAATTTTAGTTTGCAAGAAGAATTCATCATTAAGTGCATAGATGCCACTATTTCAGATGTTACAGATCATGGTTTGAGAGAAGACTAGTAACCTTCTCTCTAGGTTTTATTGAAGTAAATGGATTTCACCTCTAGAAGACCTGGAATGGTTTTCTAGAGGAGACTGACCCATGCAAAACAGATTAGAAGGGAGGGTTGGCATTACAGATCTTTTAAGGCTGTTTATGTAGAGATTTCAAATAGAAGCTTTTTAAGCTTAAAGTGATTCTCGGTAGTCTGGAGTACCTTTGTGCAGAAGAAGAAACTGCAGCGACTAGACAGTTTTTAACTCTTTGCTTGTTGATGAGCTTTGAAAAGGCCTTGTACTCCACTGGTTCTGGAAACAACAAGCTGTAAAACAGGGACCAGAGAGGTTCTTATTTTTATATATACTCCATATTCAGAAGAAGATGAACGCCTACAGTTATAGTGTGTGGGAAGAAGTTAGGTTAAGAATATTACACTCACTTCAGGTTAATTCTAACGTCTGTCCTTCATCAGAAACCATTAAATATAAGTGCTTTGCAGAATCTCTGTGTGTGCAAACACAAGATAGGAGTTTGCATAGTTCCTCTTGTACATATGTCTTTCTTTTCCCACTTTTCTCATTTTTCTCACTGAAAAAGCTGAAAAGACTCCTGGACTTACTAACGTGTATTAAAATTTATGGATGACTGTTTTACAGAAGATGACTGTTAAAGCACCAGCCTTCTTACTGGGAACAGGCATTCGTAATGGATAATTGCATGAAGTAGACCCTGAAAGAGGATTCAGCAAGTAGACTTACTCTGCTACTGAATCAAAATCCACATATTAAATAACTTACTAAAGCAATGAAAAACAATCTTTAGATATCTACGGGAGACTGATAATGAATAAGCTTAGAAGATGATGAGTAAAGACTTACTGAAGAGTATGTTGCAGAAAAGAAAAATCCTGTTTGTATCCCAGTGTTAAACACCAGCAGCCATCATTATTGCTGTCTTCCAAGTTAATAAATCATATACTTGGAATTCGGCTCGATTCCTACAGAAGTCCCCAAATTAGTTGTCACATCTCCTATTTCATCAGTCGCTTTGCCAGTGCCTGTGGTCCTCAAGGTAACTTTTATTTGAAATGGAGAGATTTCTCTAAAGAAGATCAGTACTGCATTTTTCATTCAAACAAGTTAATCTGCCCAATGGTCACACCAGCTATTCCTTACAATAGCTTAAGGTTATTGCTCCTTTTCTGAAGTAGAAAAAAAATAATTTTTGGTTGCAGTGACTACAAAAGGACAGAATGGCCATATCTTCCAGTACCGAAATGTATCTGCTGGATGTTTCTTTGCATTCTGTGTGTAAATCACTCATCTGGTGCCGCATACTCTCTGCTGTCAGGTGTCTTCTCCAAGCTTTAATGAGCTGACAGGGTAACACTGTGAGTAGAACAGAAGAAAGCTACATTTGATTTCAACCAGTAGTGTAATTTTGAAGTGAATCCCTCCAGCATCTCCCCTTACCATTGTCGATGCTGTTTTGGTGCATGTGTACTAGATTTTCTTGGCAGAATTTAATCCAGAAGTTCTGCTTCAGGGATGTACCAAATGCTCACCAGCTTCTAAAAGGGATCTGAACCAATGATTCATCACTTTACTTAAAGCTATGGGGGTCATCATTGTACAATGGTGTCATCAACTCAACTCGATCAACTGTAGTCCAGAGTAAAACAAGTGTGCAGTGTAGCTGCAGGCGCCTCAGCACCAGCTGCTTCAGTCTCTGTCTACTCCTTTCGCTCTGAATCACTTGCTACTGTAGACATAGCCTACATCCTGCTTCTGACCCTGTAAACACTTTGCTCCAGTTTTACTCTAATAAATCTAAGAGAGTTGGCATAAAGAAATGCAGGGAGATTATCCACACATACCTGCATGGTATTTTTTATCGAGTCCAGAGATCATGCAAACTTTGGAAACAAATGGGTTATCCAGACAAAGATAAAAAATACATTCAAGGATTTTGGTTTATTGTCATAAATAGCATGTACCATGTTTTCTTCGTGGGAAAATTCCTGGGTTTTCTTTGTAATGTTTAACGCAGTCTGCAGTTCTAAGAACATGGAATAATGGATGATAATCATCCTGGCGTTGAAAGTTAGGATGAAATGTAAGTGGGATAAATCCCTGCTGTTAACAACTGTCAGGTATGCTTTCACCTCAAGCTTCAAGGTGCCTAAAATATATCTACTATACATGTGAATGTGTCAAGGAAAGAGAAGAATGTTGCCTTTGTAATTCATCTCAGCAGCTTTGCATGTCACTGTCTTGACTCTAAGAGGCAATGTGGAGTATACAAGTTATGAACACATACATTTTACAGAAAGATCTGTATTTTCTGGGGTTCGTTCTTAAGCTGTGTCCACACGCCCTGGCTGCAGCTGTATCAGCAGAAAGATGAACTCCTGCGGGCCCTTTGGAGCTATTCATCATTTCTCCTCTGGTAGAGGTACTGCCTCTCCAGTCTGTTAGCTAAGATGTTCATTGAACCTGCCTGCTTTTTCCATTCAAAATGATAGAAAAAAAACTTGGTAGAAAAGACCATCTTATTTTGATGGGTGTGAATTTAGAAGCAGTTTAGCAGGTCAATCTGAAAGAGGCAGTAACTTCTCATGAGGAAAGACAGGGCTGTCTAGGGATTGTCGTCTTTTCAGCCAGGGTTCTCTTCAGCCAAGAAAGGACATGAGAACACAGCTTGACTGCATTATCGCTATAATATAGAGAATATAGGTTTATCTGTTATTAAAAATATCTTTAAGCTAAATAACTTACAGTCCTATTTAGAATGCAACTCTTAAGATTTCTGGAAATAGACTTCTGAAGATTAGTCTTCTAACTCATGATGGCAGACTTACCAAATTCTAACAGTATGGTTGTATACTATAGAAAAATTACTTTTTAAGTCAAATTAATTTTAATAGTTGAATTTTCATAGGGATTTACTATGAAAAATAGATTTACTTGACATTTGTACTTGAACATTCCTTCTGTTCCAACTTCATTGGTTTCTGTGCAACTTGTTAGACAACTGCAGAATCCAATTAGACTGCAACTCTGAAGTGAGTAATCTAATATTATGATTAGTTTTTAAAAATTGTCCATTCACTAGAAATAAACATTTGGTCCTTTCAAATATTTTTAACCATTATAGTCTCAATATACTATGTGTAGTAAGAAAATCACTATCGAGCCAGTTATGTGCATTAAATGTCATGGGTTAAGCTAAAGATACAGAGAAAACAAATGAAGCAGTGATTCCTAAATTAGAACTGCATCATCTTGTAAAAAGTCATTGTTTATGCCAATATCTCCAGGTGTCAGCTGAATTATTAATGCAAAATCATTCTTTCACAATAGCAGCATCTGGCAGATAACTCTCTCTGCTTCTAAGACAACTGAGTGTATGAAAGTGATGTCAGTGCAGGAAGCTTTTGTTATTTTTCTTCTGTATCTTTGGTAATTTATTAAACATAATTAAAATCAAATGATTTTCTGAACTGACTTCTTTTAAACTCAGTAAAGAGCTCTGTTACAGCACCCTCTGTAAGAGGAGGTGAGTGTGCTACTCCCATGATAGATGTATTCAGTTACTCGGTGTCTGCAGGAGTAGCCTCTTAGTGATACTAGCAGAGGACATTTTGGAGTACTTAATTTCTTGTTTAACCTAAATTAATATTTATGTAGAATGGGATTACAAAACCAAGATATGTTGGAAAACTAAGGAAGGCTGCTAGAAGTTTTAAGATTATTAAATTCATTTGGGAGATACTTAATTAGGAACTTGGTGATTTAAAAAAGTTTTCTGAAATACTGAGTTTCTCTAATCATAGTATGAGAAACACCTATCAGTTTACTTGGATTTTAAATGTTCATATATTATGGAGATTAAACATTTTAAAAGATGATGCAGTTGTAATTTTCAAAGATACCCTGTCTCTGTAGTCTTATCTTTCAAGGTGGTATGTGTGGAAATTGTAAAGTAGAAAACATTGCTTCTAATTTACGAGTAAATTTTGAGTATATCCCCTAAAATCAATGAACTAACTGAAATGGTGCCAAAGAGTTATCAGAGAGAAACCAGCTATATTTAACCTCAACCTAAGTCGTTGCGTTGCCTGCAGTAATAAAAAGTTCTGGTTTATGTTTATTTTTAATTGCTTAAATGAATACAAATAAGTTTCCATGTTAGATTTGTAACTTACCACTTCTGATGTTCGAGCTACATTTTATCAGGAGCTTTTTTCCCTAATAGATAGCACGACAATGTTTTAAATTTTGCAGACTGCTCTGCAGCTAAGCAAATCAATAACAGTAGTCACTTCACCTAGCTCTGGCATCTTTCACATCTCCAACTGTGCTGAAATCAGCCACAGCCATTAAAACACAGACAAGAGCTACAGTAGTCACCTTTGTCAAAGAAATGTTTTAGATGATAGTCGGTTTCACTTAAAACGTAAAACTATATTATAATAACTTATAGTTAGTTTCAGTTCCAGAAATCTCAGAGAAGGGATCACTTAAGACATCTAGATCCGTGACAGGATTTTAGTAGCAGCTTATTCTCTCAGCTCTTCAAATGTATTAAAATAATTATTGGACCATAAGTATAACTTGGGACCTCGTATAAGTCATGTCAAATAGCAGCATATGGCCTTTCCTTCTTACAATGTATTAAAGAAAACTTTTCCTAACACAGGGTGGAAGATGTGTACTAAACTACTTCTATTGGTGTCTAAATGCACACACATATTCAGAGCTTCGTGGATTTCAGCTCAAAACTACATTATGTTGTTTTTGAATAGAATTAGTGTCCTCTGATTATATTTTAATATATAGCAGAAAAAATATTTTCTTTTTATAAGGAGAACTAAAAAGTTACTTTGTCTATGAAGTTGAACTCTTGAATTTATTATAGAAAAAAGTTTGCTTAGCTTTATTCTTACAAAGCAGTGCAGGAATATAGACATTAGTATAAGGGAAAATTGGGGATAAAGTAACTATATATGGATATATTGAACTGAGATATCCTAAAGTATCTTAGCACTTTAAATGCCTAGCCACAAGCTCATACTGAGATATGCTAACAAGGAATTCTCTGACTGAAATGCTGTGTGTGGGTTTATAGGTCCTTTCAAGGGATTTTCCTGTCACTGTTGTAGTTTAGGTAGATAATCTTTCCACGCTAAACACGTTTGTTCTCTTTATTCAGCTGGTTGGGTTTTTTACAACTGCCACATGTGAAAATCTAAACATCAAGGAGCTTCAAGTAGTCTAGTACCAGTTTTCATAAGTACTAAAAAAAAAAGTTTCACTCTTGAGGCACTGATAAGTAGAGATTAGAGAGAAAAGATGGAATGGGAAAATGAGAGTGGTGGGAATGCAAAAGCCAAGACATGGGAAGTTTGCAGAACTGAAGGTATTTTATTAGTTTGATGTGAAGCACAGTGCAGCATATTTCAAATGTAAAATGCAATCAGTAATTTCTTTTTTGATTGCAAACTGTACTTATTTCCATTGTAATTGGGGTTTTTCATTTAATTACCATGCTTAATTCTGAAAATAAAGATCATGATTCATAAACTTATTTGAGGATAAATTTTAAGTATGAAATTAACACATTAAATTTCAATGAGCAGTATCTTATCAAGGTTAGCTTTAGAATCTTGAATTTTATATGGATATCAAGTATAAATGTTAACATTTTTTTTCATTAATATTAAACTTCATGCTGAAAGTCTTACACCAGGCTCTTTCTGATAACGTTCAAGAGTGGATAATGTCCACTGCAAAACCTTCCAATTAAAGTTTGATTTGCAGCTACGTCCAGGAGTAGCATTTTTGACTATGAAGTTACATGGTGTCTTATGAGTTATCATTAAATATTTATGTCCAGTTTGATTACTTTGCAGAATACTGGGCTTTGTAAAGAATATAATACTGATTATTATAAAGTACACCCTGTGTGCTCTGAAACATTTTTGCTGCATAGACAATGCAATCATTTGATTATCTTTAAAGTATTTTTAGGCAAGATGTAGAAGGATTTGTGTGTACAGAGAAGACAGTTGCCTTTGGATATTGTCAGCATTCATGGGGAAATTATTTTCACATTATTATTGATTATATACCTTATTCATTATGTACCTTTTTTATTTGTTCTGTACCTTTTTGTATTATAGATTCATAACCAATACCCAACAGAGTTTGAGTTCAATCAATATTACCTGAAGTTTCTGGCTTTTCATCACATATCAAATCGATTTAAAACATTTCTTCTGGATTCAGACTATGAAAGACTAGAACATGGTATGTGTGATGTTTATTGCATATTGGGTTTGTAGTTTCCAGGGTGTTTTTTGTCAATATTTGGTCTACAAAAATTTGCCTAGTTTGAGATGGTCCAGTAATTGCATGGTGATGAAGTAATAAATTCCATTTCAGGAATATAAAGAAAATGGAGGTGAACAACATGTGGAATTTTCTATATGAATAATTCCTGAGCCATGCCATTGACGAGACTGAGAGAAAGTGGAAGAAATTAATGCCATGCCTCAGGATTTTTAGCAATTTATCCACATGGTTCAGTTTCCTCTACTAAATACCCTATTTTAAGAGAAACAAAGTCCTTGGAAATCTCTCAGAGAGTGAATAAAGGAAAGCCTTTCCATCTATTATCTCTCACTTCTTTCTCTTGCATTCTCTTCAGTGTTTCTCTTCTTTTATGTTTCCTTTTTACTCTGTCGTGTGCAACCTTATTGGTTCCAAGGCCTTATCTACCCTCGGAGCCCTGTTAATAAGACTTCACAACCACAACTGAGGCTGTTCTTGGAACTTGTTCACTAAGCAAAACACTTCACTGCTTTGTTGGTGTTTCTCATGGGATATGGTCAATTTTAATGCTTTTCTTCGAAACTGTGCTAACTGTGGAACAGACTAAGCTTGAGCAACCATTTTGTTTCAGAAAACAAAAGTTAATTTCTACCATTTACCTTCATTTGAACAAAAGTAAGGAGTTGGAGTCAATGACCACCTGTGATTACTTCCAACCTGGATTGTTACCTGGTTTTACAATTGGGGGGTGGGGCTAAGGGGTGTTTGTTTATTTACAGTAGTTTACTTTCAAATAGCATTTAATGCAATATAAAATCCTATTTCCAGTAGCCTTTGGATAAACTATATGTCCTTCCAAAGTCATTTCAGATAGCAGAAATCTATGGCTAACTTACACTAGCCTGATTTGTTTTCCCTGAAATGAGTTGCAAGAAATTTCAGGTGCAGCTGGTCCAACGGATTGGAAGGGCTGGTAAACCCTGGTAGTGTGGCTCTGAATCAGTTTGCAGGGCTAGGTGATCTGCTGAGTCAGCACAGCTGCAGACAGAAAGGGACCTTCCTAAATACACTCAGGTATTTCCGTAAATTTCAGAACAGGTTTATAAATACAGCATTAATTAATATATATGTATATATTCTTTTAATGCAAAATTGCTATTCTACCACTTTGCGGCAGAGTGGCAGTTGCGAAGCGCAGCAGTTGTTTCATCAGATGTCATCCCTTGTTGCAGTGGTATTTGATAGTAGAATTTACTATACATTTGGTCGGTGAAATTCCTTTCTGAAATTCCTTCCTTTACCTTTATGATAATACATAACAAACATCTTTTTGCTGCTGTTATTTTCCTTAGGGACATTGTTTGAAGATAAAGGAGATAAACATGCCAAAAAAGGAATCTGTATTTGGGATTGTATTGAAAAGATGCACAAGAGGAGCCCTATTTTCTTCAATTACCTCTATGCCCCTGTTGAAGTAGAGGTATGATTTAAAAAGCCGGGCTGGTGAAACAACAGTAATTCCCTTCAAGTAAAGTGCACGCAAACTGAAAGTCTTACCTTATTTTTTAGAAGGAAAAAAAAAATTAATGCAGAGTGATCTGTTGTCAATTACTCTGAAAGATCTGCAGTCCCTGGCTGCCTACCTCATATTACTGTGGTTTTTCCAAGTGCAGTGTTCCCCTACGTTACACAGCCCGTCTCCTTTCTCTGATGGTACGGGGTCTTGGGTCTTCTCCTGAGAAAACTGAAGGGTGACTGCTATCAAGTGCCTTCTGTGTCTTTAACAGGAGGCTCAAAGACTGTGAGGACACCAAATGCTTGTGCTGCATTAGAGTTCTTGTAGGCATCTGGTTTAGTAGAAGGATAAAAATGAACAGTGTATTCCCAAAGCTAGTATTAGTTTTAGGTTTTGATCTGTCTGAGCCAAGACCTTGCAGTGGAAATTATCAAACGGCAGCACTTCTCACCCGGTGCAATAAACTGTTCCATTTAGAATAATCTAGAAAATATAAGTATTGTATTGTAAGTCTGAAACTCAAATACTTACCTTCTGTCATTATAATACAACTTTGTTTCACATAGGCACTGAAACCAAATGTAAATATGTCCAGCCTCAAAAAGTGGGATTATTATGTAGAAGAGATTTTGGCTACAGGCCCTTCCTATGATTGGACCATGGTAACTGCAAAATGTAGCGTTTCAGAGGAAACTGACCAAACGGATGGTTCGCTCTCTCAGACAAAGAGGAAAATAGTATGGCCATGTTATGATGATGTTAAAAAAATACAACCCGATGCCATCAGCAGCCTTTTAAATGTAAGTACATGTGTCACACAGAACAGTAAGTTCTCTTATTCTCATGGACTTCATATTTACTTTTATTTAAATTTTTGCCTTATATAGATATTCTTTTATTAAATGGATCAAGATAGACATCAAAACAGATATTTAGTAAAACTGCTTGTTGATACTGAGAAGTGATGTTTGGTTTGGGAATCAATCAGGCTTCCTGCAAAGCTTGTTTTTCTGAATGAACACTTTCCTGGGAGTTCACTTTGACAGTAGTTGATAAGTATGAGAAAACCAGTCATGGATTCATTTTATCACTGCCTTTTTTTTTTTTTTTAATTATAAGGTAGGTAGCATAATAATAGGTTACGTTAACTTGGGAAAATGTTGAATCTAGATTTCTTGTCCTCTTACTACTCAGTTTAAAGGAGGTGTCTGGTAAAATGGCAAAGACACGTATTTTCATTTATTCATGTTTACTAGGACCAAACCCATAAATCTAGCTTCTTCAGAATATTTTAGTACTTGAAATAGATACTTGATTTTGGCTTTTTCATGTTTGGGCTCACACAGGCTGCTCAGGTTTTGTCCTGTCTTCAGTAGAAGAGGATAAACAATCTCATCATAATTGTAGTTACTTAGAGTGATTTAACTTCTGCTTTCTCTTAAATGTTTGTTGTTTGATTACAATTAATTAGGAGTCAGAGTAGTTAGATTATAATCTTAATTGATAGCACAGGAAAATGACAAGGGCTTTTTTCACATCCTGGAGCTATTGTTTCAAGCAACATGCATATTCAGATACACGTCACTATGCACAGTTCTTTATTTTGAAAACTAGACTTAACCTTATATTAAACCTGGGATTATGGAGCCTTATATTCCAGTGCTTGGAGAATTGGGTTATGCTCTAAGTCCCCAGACTCCCCTGAATCAAAGATAATTTTTAGCAAAGTCTTAAGGCAAGAAGTTTCTGAATGGATTTAAGTCCAGACTTGCTTTTGCTATGGAGTTAGAGTTATTCTGGCTCATCCCTCAAATTTCTTTTGGTCCATTCCTTCCAATCGTAATTGATAAAACACAGGAAAAAATCACTTCTAAATCTCTCCTTGACTCAAGATAGCCAGGACTTCTCAGGGCTTATAATTTCACAAATGCAAAGAAAGAGCAGTCTCTTAGCAGGGGCCGTATCAGGGATTCTTTAGCAAAAAAACAGAGCGCTTTTGTGTCAGGTAACTGCAGGCCAGAAGTACATCAGGAATATAGCAACAGTGTTCTGCATTTCTTCCTGGGGTGGATGCCAAACTAGCCATATCCACAACTGTGAGAAACTGCTGTATAACAGGGAAATTAGCCATATTGTATTCCAAAGATATGTGGGTCAGGTTTTGTAGAGTTTAAATGTTGTTTGTGAATTAGATTATAGTAATAAAAGATTGCAGTAGAGAGAAACCTTTGGAAAACTTTGAAGAGGTTGTATAAAGGTTACAAAAATATTCTTCTGTGTTTAAAAAGCAAAGTGAACTTTCTTTTAAAACAAGTTGTTAATTTAGGGCTATTGCTGATGTACGAGAGAGACTCTCTTTAATCATAAATCCACTGAGAATGTGTTGGTATCCAAAAAATGTTTGAACTGAGACCATATTTAGCAATGGTAAATTATTAGGGAAGATTGATTCTCCCTTTGTTAATAATGATCGGCCAAAATCTGTTTGTTCTAAGGATATTTTTCAATTGAAAACTAGATAGTGCTGGTCAGGATGCAAAGCTGAAACAGAGACGTTATTGAGTGTCTTTAATTCAGAATTTTCCTTGGTACAATGTGGTGCTCTTCTGTTAAGAGCAAAAGGTGTAATTTTGTAGCAGTAAATGTTTTAATGTGTTTTGGGTACCTAACAGTCCACTCTAACTAGATGTGTGTGATGGCTCTATGGTTTCCATAAATCCTTACGTTTATAGGTTTAGAAAGTTAACCGAATCTGCACATTTCATTCATGTAGTCCTAAATGAAGCCTTTTAAAGACTGAAGATAATAAAATGCATTTTAAAATACAGATTTCTGTATAAAGCTTCTCAAATCACATCAGAGGCAGTCAGCAAATATGAACTAGGTTGTTCAAATCTTAAATTCTCAAAACTATGTTTTTGGAGACATAAAAATTCAGAAGTAGATTCAGAGATGTTTTCCTTTAAGACCCTTTTCTGATGGCCTTTCCACATGGTAGAAATCAGAAGCAAGGTACTGAGAGTAAGAATAGCTACAGTGAAAGGTAATTGTAAAACAGCACACCTATGCATATACTTCTCTTTCAGTTTAGTTGCAAATAGTGTTAAAATTATTTCTCCATTTTAATAAAGTAGATTCCTCCACAAAATTCAAAAATCTCCTTTGATGGGTGGTCAAACTTTAAGGTTCCTGCTGCTTTTATTTTTGTAAGTACATGCCTTCCTTGCTTGTAAAATGCAGTAAGATTATACTGCGGTGTAGCACATCCGAGAGCTGTGTCTTCAGTACAGCCTGAAGTTCTGGGTTATGTTTCCCGTACAGAGTAGCTCTTCAGCTGATCCATTGACAGGAGTATGAGTGTACATTATAAATGAGCTAATTTATCTGAATGAGGTGCAGAGTCCTGCACCTGGGGAGGAACAACCCCATGTAGCAGTGTATGTGGGGGCACCCAGCCGGAAAGCTGCTTTGCAGAAAGGGCACTGGCATCCTGGGGAACAGCAAGCTGACTGTGATCCAACAACGTGCCCTTGCAGCAAAGATCCTTTCCTTCTCTTCAGCCATGCTAAGGCTAAATCTGGAGTTCTGTGCCCAGGTCTGGACTCCCCAGGACAAGAGAGAGGTGGAGGCTACGGGAGAGCTTCCAGCAAATGGCGACGAAGATGATTAATGGACTGGAGCATCGCTCATATGAGGAAAGGCTGACAGCGTTGGGACTGTTCAGCCTGCGGAAGAGAAGGCTCAGGGGGAAATCTTGTTAATATATATAGCTATCTGAAGAGAAGGTGTAATGAAGGTGGAGCCAAACGCTTTTCAGTGGTGCCCTATGACAGCACCAGAGGCAGTGGGCATGAACTGAAACGCAGGAAGTTCCATCTGAACGTCGGGAAACACTTTTTCACTGTGAGGGTGACTGAGCACTGGCTCAGGTCACCTAGAGAGGTTGTGGAGGCTCCATCCTTGGAGATACTCAAAAGCCATGTGGACAGAGGCCTGAGCATCTGGCTCTAGGTGGCCTTTTTTTTTTCAGCAGGGGGGTTAGACCAGATGAGCTCCAGAAGTCCAACCGTTCTGTGATATATGGCTGGTTGCTGGTTGTATTAGAGGTAGTAATCTATTGATATTTCAGTGAAAATGCAAGTCAAATCCTTGCGGGCAGACACATCTCTACTGTTTCCCACTAATTTCATAACATTCCTAAAATGGTATTCAGTCCCCATAATTCATTTGGAGTGGCTCAGATTATGGTACTTTTAAGAATTGTGAGAGATGAACCTACATGTCCTATTCTTATCAATAAGCAGTTACATCACTTAACATTAGATGGTGGTTGCTCTGAGAGAGGTTAGCAGACTCAAAAAAGATGCCACTTCAGGATACCAGTCGCCCAAATTAACTCTGCCCTAAAAATACGCCGTAAAGAACTAAAGCTATATAATGGCTCAATGAATAACCAGCAAAAGAATAAAAATAGCACTTCTGATTGTGAGCTGTTTTGTAACTTTCAGTTATGTGCCCAAAAGACTGATCTGCCAAAGTGGACCCTGAACCAAATGGTTTATTGCAAATATTGGGCAGTTAGTCGTGCACAACTTGATAGGGCCAGCAATTAGATCGCTGGATACACATTCAGCATCTTTCCATTTGTAGTTGAATTCTTAGAATTCTTCTAGCACAGGAGTTAAAGAAAAAATACTGACAAGGAAAGACTTCCAAAACAGTGTAGTCTGTCACAGTCAACACTTCACTAGGGTAGGACCTTGCCCAGATCGTTCTGTGTGCACAAGCATAATGTGGATACAAAGGAGATCAGTCTCTACAGTTCTGGAGTGTCTGCAGGGTTAACTCATGTCTGTACCATTCAAATATTACAAAGCAGATTACTTAGCAGATACATCTTTTGAAATCCACAGTAGTGATAATTGCTTGTAATTACTAATTTCAGGAAATGGATATTCATACAATTGTATTTGTTATAACCTCTCTTCCTGTATATATTGATTTCTGCTCCCATAAGTTGAGGCAACAGGAGATGAAACAGAAAGATAAATCTAAGGAAATTTTCTTTCAAGGAAATGTAGGTATTCATAGTCCATTCCACACATGGAAGGAAAAAAATCTGATGTTTTCAGTAAAATTTAAAACTGAAGGAGAAGAGCAAATCTTAGTGATTTATTGCCATGTAAGTTTTTTCATGGGGTTTATTAAGGGAGAATTTATTCCTAACTTTTCAAGTTATATATTGGAGCTTGCTGAAAGTTTTTCATTTTAGGTTGTGGAAGCACTACTCATTGTGGAGCCAAAAGAGAAGGAATGTGACCCAGTTGCTAAATAACAGATTTCGTTTACTTCCAGATTCTACAGAGAGACTCGTATTCAGAAGTCAGGACTAGGGCAGAAAGAGAATGATCAGATTAAAACCTCACTAACTTTTAACACTAGAGAGCTTGTATCCTTTTGCAGCAGTTTGGAAGGCCTTTTACATAAAAAGTCTGCATTAAATTGATTATCATATGCTTTCCCTTCCGGAAGCGTTCTACACTCAGTACTTTGAAAGAGGAACAAGTAATCTAGATAAGCCTTTAGTCTTGTGTTCGCCATTCCTTATTTTTGTATCTACCTATGAAGGTAGTCCAAACAAAACTATTCTGGTTTTATTTCTTGGCAGGAAGAGAGTCCCATAATATTTAATGTATATGTGGCTTTAAACTGCCTTCAGTATTTAAAACTTCTGGTTTGATTCTTGCTGTTAAGCCAGATTTCTTATATTTTGTTTTACTTTTGAGTTTTCTAATTTACCTTCAACAAGGAAGAATTTGTCGAAATATTTTGTTCGTGTTACACTGTCAAATATGGGGTTCTTTATTTTCACTTTAGAGTTCAAAATTTACCTCAGGACTTAATTTGGTGGTCAAAATGTTTTCTTACCTTAAAAACATAGTAACTTTCTCTAAGTTTTTCAATTATTGTTTCAAAGTAACAATTTCCTGAAGAAAAGGTCATTGTAGAAGACCAGTAGGAGTTGGAGAATATAATGAAATCCACTCTAATTATTTGGTATAGTAGATGTGACTGAAGTCAGAAACTTACTGTCTCTGCTCTGAAAATAAGTGTCTTGGGCTTTTATATAGCAAGGGAATTCTCTATCCTATGGCAATTTCTTTTCCATCAACAATTCTTAATTGGATTTGCAGAATTGAGTTTTTAATGTGATTACATTAAGAATCAGATTTTCATAACAATATAGTTCTTGGAAGTAAAAATTTAGAAAGGAAGCACGGCAAGGATTATGGACCACACATCAAAGTAAAGACAAATGTATCGAAGAGTGTTCACAAGTAAACCTAAACTAATGAAATTGTCTCTTCTTACTTTACTTGGCATGCACTGTCTTATTGACAGGAAATAACCCTAACTGGAGGTTATCGACATAGGTCATGTTCCCAAGCTCCACAGCAAGAACATGTTGTTACAGTTTGGCATCCAAATTGAATAAATCTTTCTGTTTCATTTCCTTCTTTTATAAACCAGGGTCAGTGTTAATATTGGCAATGTCCAGTGTTGGTGTCACAGCACAGAGTTTGTTCTTTGTAAATATTTTTATAAAATATAGCCTATCCTTATCACTGTCATGTTTCTGTTACGGCAGTTGATGTTGAATTTGGTGTATTCAGAAGAACTGGCAAAGAATTGAAAGCACAATGTCTCCTCAACCTGTGACGTGCAAGAAGAATGATGTGGTTCATGCCGTACTAGGTTGCCTTTGACTCCTGAGTCTGATTTCAGTTTTTAGCTGGTTGGACAGAGTGTTTTTTACTTTACTGGGCAACAGGGCCTAAAAGTTTCCTATGTAAAAATACTGACTAGAACATAGTTGTGTAAAGATGATTGCCAGGAAGTGATCAATTAAAAATGTTTATCCTTAAGAAAACCATTGTTATTTGTTTCAGGAAATCGAAAGGTTGGAAAGTAAATTAAATCAGAGCCCAGAAAGGTGGCAGCTTTTGTGGGAAAGGATCAAAATGAATCTAAAGGATGATACCAGACAAGACAATGTAAGTAGTAAAAGAGTT